ATTTCCACAAGTAACATGCGTACCAAACCCTGAATGGCATATGTGACCTCCAGGGATAGTTTCACTTTCTTTTTTAGCACCATGTATAGTTAGCTCTTTATAATTTTGGTCATCTGAATTTCTTATAGTTGGTGACATAGTAAGTGATCTAGCTGACCACCTAATTTCACCAAAATTGTATGCCATTGTAAAATTCGGGGTATTCATGGAACCCACAGTTATCAATTGATAGCTAGCTGTAATGTTTGAATTCCACGGCCGTATATAAAATTTATTTTCATTGGCAGTGCCATTTATATCATAACAATAATTCCTTTCAGTTATGACATAAAATATGGGTTTCTTAGTCGAAGTTCTTTTGTGTGAACGTGCAATAAAACCAACTGAGCATGTTGTTGTTTCGGCTGTTTCATTCTTAAAAATTCTTGTATCCAAATTCAAATACCATCACCAGCTAAGACTAATGTTTTATTTGTGGTTGTCGTTTATGTAGTTCCTCACTTGGACCAGGATGTTTGGCATTTGTTGTTTTGTTAGGTGGACCCCGAAAGACTTCATTATTTCTTATATCAATATAAACATAATGGTCTCCTGGCGAAAATAGTTTTGCTGCATTAACCAAATTATCAAATTCAGGTTTCAATTCATCTAGGGATTTATTCACCGTATGAAATTTCAGATAATTCCTATGCGGATCTAGTGCAGGTAAATTTTCTATAGTAGGATCTTTTATATAGACAAGTAACTTATTCTCTATAACATCTACATAAATTCCACCAAATGATGTTTTATTTATTAGTGGTTTTACGATTCTTTCTAATCTGATTAAATTATCTTCTCTACGTAAGTACTGAAGTACTTGAACATCTTGTATATCCCACAATTTCGCCAACGGATGATTCTGAGCATGAACCACAGAAGAAATTTGTAATATGAAAATAAATAATATTGGCAAATAAATTTCTTTCATTTTTATATGATCATAAAATCTTATTAATGGAGTTAAAAGTATGGGAATCTAGTTGACGTATTTTATCCGAAATAACCTGTTTACAAATTTACTTTGTCTCAAACAAGCTCCGTAGACACTTATTATATATGGTTTCAATTATTTCCCTGGCGAAATTATTTACCGCTGACTAAAATATAAATATTTTAGTATGACGAAAATATTTTAGTATGGCGAAAATGTTTTAGTCTAGTGAAAATATTTTTGGATGTCTAAAATCGGTTTTCATATCCCGCACGTAATTGCACGAAATTTTCATATGTAGTCGGTTATATTAAATGCTAATAAAAAGTTTTTTTACTATGAATCTTACTAAGGCCATATAATTTATACTATCGGTTTTCATATCATTACCTAACCTTTGATGACCCGCCGACCCGGATTTTAATTTTTTTTAAAAAAAATTTTTTACAGCTGTTTTCATAATTCCTGGGACACCTGTAAAAAATTAGCCGAATGATCTTCGGCCGATCCGGTTAATTTATTATTTCGGCATAATAGATCAATAAAAATTGGTACGTATGTACGCACGTACAAATTTTATTGAATCTATTATGCCGAAATAATAAATTAACCGGATCGGTCGAAAATCATTCG